ACATAAAATTGATTTTTTTACATCCTTAAGAAAATGGAATTAACTCTTATGCCTTTTTACATAAAAAGCAGTGATATGTTTCATATTTGAAATTATAACACTAATAAAAACCCAGCACAGGGGGGTCGCGGCACAGTGGTGACGTGGCATAGTTGGATCAAGTATAATGATATCTGACAATGATTAAAATCACTATCAAAAATAAACGCTTCGATGCAAATCTTTAGATTGTGTTTAATTTTAAAAAAATTGGTGTATTATTCCAAAAGCTACATGATCTGCTAGTTCCTTATTAATATCTTGATTAAGATAAAGTATGTCGAATGAAAAAGGGATTATTAAAAAATATTATTTCTCATAAAAAAATTTTGTTGATCCATACACTTTTCAATAAGTTATAGCATTATAAAGTTACAAATATAAAAAATAAAATCGAGAAATTTCACACAAAAATAGCATTTGGTAGCCGTATTCACCATGAAGACAAGTCCAGAGGTCAAATTTTTTTTATTTCAAATTAAAGTATATTACATAAGCTTTAATTTAATATATATATAAAATTGTCAGACCTCCGGAACATTTTCAAAAGTTANATAAAATTGTCAGACCTTCCGGAACATTTTCAAAAGTTAATTTTTGTGAAAAAGTTGTTATATTAAATCCCCCCATGTGGGCAGGTAAAGGGTCAGATTTATAAAAACAGTATACCAAATGATAGGTAAAAACATCAAGCATCTATAAAAAAAAATTATATTGTTATGTTCATTTTTGAAAAAGTTACGGCAGCTTTTAATAAAAAAAATTGAAAAATCTTTGAAAATTAGCGATTTTTAAATTTGTAATTTTTTTGGAGGATTCCACCATTTACGGGGAACGAGGGAATTTTTTTACAATTTTTAAGGGTAATGTCTTCGACTAGTTACGATTTGTGATCTTTTGACGTATCGTTGAAAGAAATCCGTTCGGTGAGAGCTGAGAAAAAGTGGTAACAGTCACAAAAAAAAAAAAAAAAAAAAAACATTATAGTAAAACCAATACCTTTTCAGCTTCGCATCGAAGCTAAAAATTCATAAATATCGTATTTAATTTTAAGTTATATAAAATTAGGTTATACTTACTTATTATTTGTTGGATTTATCAACTGAATAAATCCAAGATCCTCGTAATTAATTTTAATTGTTTCAGTGTAAAATGAATTCATCTTATTACACATGAATTGTATAAACTCCGAGAAATCTCTGTTGTGTGTCAAATATTCTGTTTCACATTCAGTTTTGAGATCAATTTTTTCACCAGTATTTATAATAGATTTATTTTTCTCGAAACAGTTATTTGCAATTTTAAATACATCACCAATGAATTCTTTAGTTTCTATAAATACTTGATAATCAACATGATGATACTCGGATTGGATTTTTTTAAAATATATATGATTTTTTATCTCATAAATGTCATGAACTATTGTGATTGGGTTAGTTTTTAACTCGGGAAACACAAGTTTAAAGTCCATATAACTTATAAATGTCATAGCATTGTATATATTATCAAACATTGTCAATGAATTGTTTATTATTTTTACTAGTAATATTGTACAATTTTTAAAGTTTTCCAACACATTAGCGTCTAAAAAGTGTACACATATATCAACAACAATATTTAATAATTCTACAAATGTTGAAAGTACTTCGCTATATCTGTAGTTTAAAATATCAATAATATTATAAAAAACACTGATCAAATTTTTTTCGTTGAGTTTTTGCGCTACTAAATCTTGGACACTTAAAAATCCAATGGAATCATGTTTCAAGTGTAAGTTTCCCATAGATTTCCATCCATTTTGAATACACAAATGATCACCTATTTCAATTAAATAATTTAAGTATGATGTTTCTTCAATTTTACATTCTACATAGGTGATATTGTAATAAATTAAAGTCAATTTTAAAACAAATAGTTCAAGATTCATATCGATAAATGTATACAATTAGTGCTACTATGCTATGAAATGAATTAATATAACAATTTTTTTTTATTATTTATTGTAATATTCATACCTAAAAATACCATTTCCATATTAAGATAAAATGTAATTTATTAAGCGTCAATATACAATTATTTATTATTTAATATGCGTAAGACTAACACTTCGAATAAAATTTTTTAGGTTAAATAAATAAAAAATAGGCAAATCATGGACTAAAAATTGATTAATTTAAAAAAATTGTATTATTAAATTTTAATACTATTTAATAAAGAATATTTTTTTAATTTTAAACACTTTAGAAGCAGTATATTTTCGTATCACATTTAATTGACACACAATCATTTATAAGATCTTATTTACAAAATTTTCAAATTTTTTTCCAAAGAATAAAATTTAGTTTTCTTCAAGATTATCTTTTGTGCGCTAACCATTGTATTTTTCAAAAAATAATAATTTATATATTTTATATAATAATAAATATTGTATTTTTAAAAATTATTTTCAAGTTTCATTTATTTCTTGATTTGTTAGTTATTAGTTAATCTTTAATTATTCTTTTATACCTTATTATATTTCAACATTATGGAAAAAAAGAAAGGAATAAGATACTTGAAAGATTGGTTTTGTACAGAGTTATATGACACGATTGACTACTATGCGCCGTTTTCGTTTACGCTTGTCTCGCACTAGACTTTCCAATTGTCTTTGAACATTTTGTACACTATTCAAAGCCATCATACTATATGAACCGTGATCATGTATGTCCTTTTTCCTTTGTTATAATATCGACTGCTCCCATGACTCATCTAACAAATNTATAATATCGACTGCTCCCATGAGTCATCTAACAAATTCTTACGAAATATTGAGTTAATGTATCGTCTTTTGTTTTGCATCGCGGAACAGTGATGTCATTGGTTGACCTCTGGCTAATCTTTTCCTCAGCTGTGGGTATTATATTCACGGACGATTCTTCAAAGGAAAAAATTTTTGTGTTGTGTCTTCAATTGCTAGCTTCGATTTAAATGACGATTCGGATAACCCTTGTAACGAAAATAACCCAAACCAAATGAGTACTGAAGGTAAATCTGGACTGTGTATTATATCCACTTTTTGTGTTGATAAAAGTGGATACAAATCAGTACCGATCAACATATCAACTGATGACACATCATCAAATCTCGGATCAGCTAAGGCCAAATGCTTTTAACGCTCTCGTACCGTGTTAGGTAATTTAGCATGAGGCATAAGTTTGGTTATTTGTGGTAAAATTAAAATCTTGAAACTCGGTCCTCGCGCTACTAAAGGAACAAACTGTCATAATATACTCTTCATTACCATAACATGGAATAATTATACATTATATTCTTAGGACATGATCCTTTTCTAGAAAATAATTTGAATAAACATTTAACAAACACACACTGTTTAGCATATTATAATACACCCGATTCTATCATAAATTGATTAGTAGTCACTTTTAGAAATAGTTCCTTCCGAGAGGAAGGATATAAATCATTTTTGTCATCTTTGTTATTCTACTATTAATAATTCAATAAATTGTATTAATCCTGGTTTTATTAGTAAGAAACTATGTTAATGTTATATATTATGCTGACACGACTTACGTCGCAAAAATGTGGTCGACACTGGTTTTGAGGGTAGAGACCCGTGGGCCGTTTATTAAATGAGCGACAACAGATTATTTTAACAAAAATAAAACAAACCGAAAAGATAAACACAGTAATAATAATCTTCGCATAATATCGCGGCACTTTCGCTGGCGTCGACGACGCGATGTCCGGCGTGATCCTTGGACGGCAAAATGGTTAGCAGCGTTGTAGGCGACGGTCCGCAGGTGCGGTTCGGTTCATCGGCGTTGTCGCTTTCACAACGGGAGGAAGACTCTCGCACCATTTGCGGCGGGTCGTCGTCGGCCGTGCGGCATTTGCTGGACTTTGCACCGTAGCGTATAACACGCGGTGTTGGTCAGTCAAATATTCATAGTAGGGCGACGGCTGATAAAGGTGGCACGAGTCGCGGGGCATCGTGTATAACGAAGCGACGCGGGCCGTGTCAATGCCAAAATGATTTATATATTCTATTCAATGTAATAATCTCTGTATTTTATGCTTATTTATCAATAAACAGTTATACTGTAAAAATTAAACAATGATGATTTTCGGGGGTAAAAAATATTGTAAAAAGGCAGAGCAAACCCATATTCCGTGCATTTTGTGCTCTCGATATAGTTACGTGGATATTGCGATCATCATTGTCAAAGTTCTTACGTGTTTGATTTGTGAACTAAAACTTAAGTATGTTGTTGTGCGGGCCCACGTGGTAAAGGAATTAAACTTAATAAAAAAAACGAAAACACTCACTTTTCAATAAAAATGTAGAATATATAATGTGATTAAACAGTAAATAATACAATACAACGTTAATTATTAATATTAATACAAATGAATAGGGTAATGAAATCGAATGATATAGAATGAAGTAGAATGATGGTAACTAGCGCATACTAAACCACGACTGACTGTAGGGTACCTACAGAGGGAGTCCTTTGCCCATGGTAGCCCTAATTCCCTTGGTCAGCACATTCCTGTGTTCGACGACAGTCGGACGACCATGTATTCTATACTCTACTCAATTATAAAATAATATTCAGGGGTTCTTAACAATATGGATCATGCTGTGGATATTTCATACACAACATTATTAGAAGAACAGGAAAACTATGCTGGTATAGGTAGTAATTTCTCGTTTTCTTATATAGAAGGTATACATTGATTTGCCCCATGACATTAATATGAAAAAAGCTGTCATATACCCGCAAAACATAGATAGTCAATGTTTCATTTAGTTTATCCGCTGAAAATGTGCGCTGAAGAACGTACAGACCATATCGATTTGTTAATTGTGTCTGTTATATACTACACTGTAATATCAGTGTGTTATCATAGTTTTAAAAGAGATATCAATGTTCATGTTAACCTAATTGTATAAAAAGCCTTTTTTACATTTAATAAATTATATTCATTTTAAAATAAATGAAATTTGTGTTTAATGTATATTAGTCCTATCAAAATATAGAACATAAATTGGCGACGAGGATACGATGTTGACCAGAAATGCAGCTACTGGCAATAATGGACAGGCCTATATTGGCCTTGGTCACATGTTTTTCGACCATCGTACAAATGAATGGAAAACTTTCAAATTAAAGTTAAATAGTAATTTTATAGTAGGTAATATTATTGAAGAGGATAGACAAAAAGCTATGCTGATTACCTCATTAAGTGATGACACCTTATCACTACTTGAAAGTCTATGTGTTCCGGCAGAAGTTCAATGCAAAACTTTCAAAGAACTAATCCTACTCTTGGACAAACATTTCACTCCAGTTAAGTCGTATTTTTCAGCTAGAAACACATTTTATAGAGCTGAAAAGTATTCAACGGAGACAATATCAGAATGGGCAGCCAGAGTACGTACATTAGCAATGCCTTGTGGTTTTGGTAGTGAGCTAAACATAGTCCTTCGTGACATTTTCACTTTAGGATTAGAAAAGAACTATAAGGAACGTTTATTTGAAGTTGATGCTAAAGATAAAGATACCACCTTAGCAAAAATGATAGATATCGCTTTAGCTAAAGAAATGGCTAGCAAGAATAACCAACAAGAGGTAAATGAAATAAATTATGTCAAACACAACAAATCCAATCAAAGGATCAACCATAGATTTAAAAATCAATCAAACCATACAACTGCCAGAAATCAAAATGCTCAAAACAACAAAACCAAATGCCAAGTTTGTGGTCGTATTAATCATAAGACAATAGAATGTAAGTACAAAGAATATACTTGTAACAAATGTAATTTAAAAGGGCACCTAGCCCCTATGTGTAAAAAAAATATTGTCAAGTATAAAAATAAATCTTTCAATACACACTTTATTAATAATAATAATAGTGATACTGATCCGGAAAATGATAATATTTTTTTAAATGAATCAGAGATTTTCAAAATAAATACTGAAAACAATGTAAATGACATTAACCCTATTGAAATAAATGTCATGTTAGATAAGGTTAAGTTAAAATTTCAAATAGATACTGGAAGTTTTTATTCTTTTATAAGTGAATCTTGTTACTTCGAAAATTTTCATTATATTAAATTATTAGATAATGACATTATGTTAAAAGATTATATAGGTAAATATTTTAAGCCGTTGGGCAAACTAGATATAAGTTTCAATTATAATAATGTTAAAGGAATAATTACACTGTATGTTGTAAAAAAAGGTGGACCTCCTTTATTAGGTAGCAAAGATTTTTCCAAACTTAACATATTTTTTAATCATAATACTATTAACTATATAAAAGGTAATGATCAACCTAATGATATTGTACAATTATGTAAAAAGTACTCTAAGGTCTTTGACAATAATCTAGGAACTTTTTCAAAACACAAAATCACACTTTTTGTTGAAAAAGATTGTATCCCAAAATTTTACAAGCCTAGATTTGTACCTTTTGCTTTCAAAAATAAAGTAGAATTAGAAATTAATAGATTGATTAATATGGGTGTTTTGACTCCTGTTGAACATTCCAACTGGGCAACTCCCATTGTTCCTGTCCTTAAACCTGATAATACTGTCCGTATATGTGGTGATTTCAGTGTAACTCTTAATCCAGTCCTTCAAGGTATCCAGCACCCATTACCTAAAATAGATCATTTGTTTGCCAAACATTGCAATAATGTCTATTTTAGTAAGATAGATCTTAAAGATGCCTATGCTCAATTATGTTTATCTGAAGAATCACAAAAATTAGTAGTAATTAACACACACATGGGTCTTTTTGCTTATACAAGATTACCATATGGAATAAATTGTGCTGCTAGTACATTCCAACGTGTATTAGAACAAACGATAGGTGATATGGAAGGAGTTACCATATTTCAAGATGATATATCTATATCAGGTAAAACAAGAACAGAACATAACAAAAGGTTAGAGTCAGTGTTATCTAAGCTTTTGGATGCAGGACTTAAAGTCAAGATTGAAAAATGTAAGTTTCTAAAAACATCTATAGAATATCTTGGTCATATCATTGACAGTAGAGGTATTCATTCAACTGATAAACATATTGAAACTATAAAAAATGTACCAGTTCCTACAAACCTAACTGAGTTAAAAAGCTTTCTAGGCATGGTCACTTATTATCTAAAATTCATTCCAAAGTCTGCTGAATTATTAGAACCACTGTATGCATTAACTAGACAAGAACAAATTTTCAATTGGTCAAATAAATGTAATAAAGTTTTCATTAAAATAAAAAATCTACTTTTATCAAATAGGGTATTGGCTAATTTTGATTTTGATTTACCTATCAAACTAACTGTTGATGCATCTGAGAAAGCAGTTGGAGCAATTTTATCTCATGTTTATTGTGATAATACAGAGAGACCTATTGCTTTTGCTTCACATTTACTTACCAAAGCTGAACAAAAATACCCACAGTTAGAAAGAGAAGGTTTAGCAATTATTTTTGGAGTAAAAAAATTTAATGATTACTTGTTTGGTAAACATTTCACTTTGGTCACTGATAATAAACCAATAGCCCATATTCTTAACCCAGGAAAAGGAATACCCAAAATTGCAGCCAACAGACTTCAACGATGGGCATACATATTAATGGCTTATAAATTTGATATAAAATGGGTACCTACAAATAGCAACCCAGCAGATTATTTATCTAGACTGGTGATTCAAAACAAACAAGTGGATATAGAAGCTAACGTTAATTATTTAAATTTTATAAAGGAAGAATCTAACTGGATAATTGATTGGAAAAAAGTTAAAAAAGCAACCAAACAAGATCCTATTTTATCAAAAATAAGTGAATTCATCTTAAGTAACTCTTGGCCAAATGAAGCAAATAAGAACTTAGAATTATTACCATATTTTAGAAGAAAGGATGAACTTACCATTGAACAAAATATAATTATGTGGGGATATAGAGTTATAATTCCTTTAAAACTAAGAAACTTTTTATTACGACAATTGCATGAATCACACCAGGGAATTACTAAAATGAAAAGTCTGGCAAGAGCATATTTTTGGTGGCCTTTGTTAGACAAAGAAGTGGAAAATTTATCAGCAAATTGTGAATTATGTATCACTAATAGAGCAAATCCTCCAAAATGTGTACTCAAAACTTTTGAATGGCCAAGTAAAGCATGGACTAGATTACATATAGATTTTTTGGGTCCTATAAATGGTCAAACATTTTTAGTCATAGTTGACTCCACCTCCAAATGGATTGAATGTTTTAAAGTAAATTCTTTAAACACTACTATAGTAATTAAAAAACTTAATGAAATAATTGCTAGATTTGGTATTCCTAAAGCTATTACATCAGATGGAGCCAAATGTTTCACCAATGAATATTTTCAATCTTATTTAAGAAAATACAATATTAATCATTTAGTTGGTGCTCCGTACCATCCTCAGAGTAATGGAGCAGCAGAGAGTGCGGTCAAAATTATCAAAAATTTTATAAAAAAAGTCATAAAAAATAACCAAATGAATGACATAATTAACTTATTAAATAATTTCTTATTTCAGTACAGAAATACTCCACACACAACCACTGGAGAAACACCTACAAAAATTTTATTTGGAAAGTCAATTAGATTTGTTTTTGATTTACTCAAATCAAGCACAAGTGATGTGGTAGAAAAGTGCCAAACTAAGCAAGTAATAAATGGTGGGAAGAGAGATGTAAATTTCACAGTAAATGAAAAAGTGATAGTTCGTGATTATAGATCACCATCTAATAAATGGATCTCAGCTGTTATTTCAAAAATATTAGGCAGTAGAACATATGAGGTGACAACTAATGATAATTTAGTTTGGAAACGTCATACTAATCAAATTTTAAAAAACAATTCCTCTTTCATAGAAAATACTCCTATCACTGATAACAATGATTCCTTTTTATCTGATCTCACTATTAAACAATCTAGTCACATAGTTAATAATCCAAATAGTAATAACAGAAACAATATTAAACAAAGACCTAAGAGAACAATAATAAAACCTCTTAAATTTAGGAATTAACACAATTATTTAATGTTAAAAATTTTATATATATATGTATACACATTTTATATCATATTTGTGATGTACATTTCAAATTCAATTTGTATTTTTAATTAATTATTTTTAGTGGGGAAATGTTATATACTACACTGTAATATCAGTGTGTTATCATAGTTTTAAAAGAGATATCAATGTTCATGNTTATATCATATTTGTGATGTACATTTCAAATTCAATTTGTATTTTTAATTAAATATTTTTAGTGGGGAAATGTTATATACTACACTGTAATATCAGTGTGTTATCATAGTTTTAAAAGAGATATCAATGTTCATGTTAACCTAATTGTATAAAAAGCCTTTTTTACATTTAATAAATTATATTCATTTTAAAATAAATGAAATTTGTGTTTAATGTATATTAGTCCTATCAAAATATAGAACAGTGTCAAACGCCACGGGTGTTAGTCATTACACTTATATCACTGATTTTGGAAAACTGGTACAATCACAAATGACAAAGAATACGGCAAAAATGATATTTTGTAAACGATGTTTCATTGGTTTTAATAATATACCTAAAAAGTATAAACTACACGGAGTTGAGGCACTAGAAGAACATAAAACAATTTGTGGTGAAAACAAACCGTTTTTACCTGTAATGCCTGAAGAGGGTACTAAACTAAAGTTCGAGTCATGGGGCATAACACAGGAACGACGCCTAAAATATATAGAGGTAATAAAAGCAGTGAGCCTGGGAAATTAGCCAATCGTTTCATGGATGATGTAATTGAAGTAGCGTTGAAAATTGAAGAGTTGCTCAAGACGAACGTTGATATATATATGACACATGAAGAAACTGAAAAACATATAAAGAAAACCTGCTGTGATTAGTGTAAAGATAGTTTTACAGAGAATAATCATAAAGTAGCAGACCATGATAATTTGACAGGTAAATCATAAACATAATTATTTAAATATATTGTAATTAATATAATGTATATAGATAGCTTTATATTTGTTTCAGGTAGTTTTAGAAAAACGCTATGTAACAATTGCAATTTTTTTGATATATTAAAATCATCATTTTGGTATAACACCATGTTTTATCCTTTAACTGGAGGTTAAATTTATTTCTTATAAGGATATTAGGTAACAATAAAAATAAATAAAACTTATTTGTGGGTAAAATATTGATAGATCATCTAAAACAATGTTCACCATTTAGGATGATATAAAAAAAAAACTTAGTTGTAGGGTCAAAATATTTACTTATACTGACGCAAATTCCATGTAAGAGGATATTGACCATGAGCTGCCAGTGTCGTCAGAGCGGGTTGAGACAGAAATGATAGAGCCCCCGATTTTACGAGAAAAATGGTATTTTATGTGCCGGATGAAGTAAGCCAACGATCTATATTGAAATTCCTGAGATGTTGGATAATTATTTGTGATTGGTTAATTGTGATAGAAACCCTAATGTGGGCGTAGTTAATGAATTGTAGGGGACTGGTTTAAAACAGGTGTTAATAAATGGTTATTTTGTTTACCCTAAAAGGGAAACATTCCTTAGATGATTTTTGCTTTATTCATATATATGTGACATTTAGTACATGCGTTAATAATTATATTACATAGTAATCATTTCAAAATAATTTTTGGTGATTAAAAATATTCTACAATTGAAATATTCAGAACATAATTTATTTTAACTAAATGAACCAATCTAAATGGTGATAAAAAAATCTTCTCAATTGAGTGTATTAATTGTGATCATTTGATGTATCGTTAAAAAAAGTCGGTCAAGTAAAAGTTGAGAAAATAGATGACAGCCATAAAAAAAAAATCATATAGTAAAAAAAATTTAATATGCATAAGAAATTTCTTTAAACGAGGGGCAACTACAGTGATGGTGTCCTTGATATTAATTTAAGTTATTGAATCTAAATGAGATAAAATTAAAGTAATTTAAAAAACTTTTTAATAATAATATTCAATTATTAAATTGTTAATTAGTTCATTTGAACTGGGATAACGCGATATATGATCCGCAGCTCTATTAAAAATACCTTTTTTATATTTTACCACAGTCATAGCCCATTAATTTCGTTCGTATTCTATTAACAACGATTGATTCAGTTTTTATATTGATAAATCTTATTAGATTTTTATGATAAGTCCAAACCTCAATTTTTCTACCGTGGATATATTGCCTATAATAGGTAAACGCAAAATAAATAGTTAAAACCTCGAGTTCCATAGCGGAATAATTGACTCGGCATTAACTTTTTAGATACATAAGAAATTGGACAAATTTCGTTATTATCATCACGTTGTTAAATTATAACGCCTAGACCCAATGTTTTAAAAATACAACTATTAAAATCTACTTGATTTAATTCTAAGATGAAAAGGGAAATAAAATAAAACCCAATATTTTGGACTGTATGTTAATTCTTTTCTTATAATTTTACATTAAAAATATAAACAAACACTGTTTTTACAGAAAACATAAAATAAAAACAAAATAATACTTAATCTAGGTTTATCTCAATCACTTAACCAATTATAAAATGGGTAATTAAAAAAATAACAAACAATGATACATATATTTTTTTTAATACATTAAAAATATAAAAAGGAACCGACCTGACCCAAATGCTATCGATGTTCAGATAACCAATTAAATTTTTTACTTTTCGTTTTAAATTTACCCTTAGTCAGATCTGTAAAAGGTTCCGCCTGTTTACTCATGTTAGGAATAAATTTTCTGAAATGATTGTCGAGTCCTAAAAAACTACGAAGTTACTTTACATTGCTAGGGGATGGGAATTTTTTTACTGATTCAATGCCCTCATCGGTTGGCCTAATGCCTTTCGAATTTATGATATTACCGAGTATTTGTATTTCCTCGTATCTCAATTTCCATTTTGATGACTTCGATTTTAAATTATACTGTCTAAATCTCTGTAAAATTAAATCTAACGAACATAAATATTAATCGAAAGATTTTCCGAAAACTGTACAATCATCTAAGTAGTAAATATTATTTTTATAAATGAGACCTCCCATAATTTTGTACATAGATAAATGTCCCGTATCCATAAAAAAAACTGTATATTGCCGTGAATTTTTAGAAAGTGTGAATTGATAAAAACCACTGACAGTGAACAGTCTAACAGTGAAAAATAGTGATTACCAGCTAAACAGTCATATATATTTTGAATTATCGACATGGGAAAACTATCTTTTAATAAAATTTAATTTAATTTTCTATAATCCAAAATCAGGCGATACTCTTTAAGGGTGACTCCTTTTTTGTCGTCCTGTGGTAGGTTTTTACCTATTAAATATACCGGATTACTATATGGACTATTTGACGATTCTATTATTTCAGCCTTTAATAATTCGTTAGTTTGCTTTTCTACTTCGGCCCGTTCTTTAACGTTTAACTTGAAATTCGGCAAGTTTATTATTCGATCGCGATTTAATTTTAATTCAATGTCTGGTAGTTTTACCTCGCCCAAGTCGAATTTAGTCTTTGAAAAAATTTCATTATAATTATTTAGCAACATTTCAAGTTTTTGTTTTTTATCGTGAGATAAAGACGGGTTAATATCGAATTCTACCTTTTGTGAAACGTCTGCTAGAGAAGATGTTGTTTCTTTTTCCGCGAAACATGTTTCATTAACCTGAGATTCGAAGTGTACGCCTGGTGTTGACGCATCGTTTTGTTTGAAGTGTTCGGTAAAATCATCATTTTTTTGTCTGGAGTTCAGAATTTTACGCCTGTCGGCGACTGAAATATTGTCATTAATATGCACAATTGTTTTAATATTAAAATTAACACTAGAATTTTTTACGTATTCTAATGGAGACCAATGATAGTGGGAAAATAAAACAAACACGTTATCTCGATCAAATTCTGTGAATACGATAACATTTACGTCCGAACAATTGTTATCTTGGGAAAGTACAATTAAATTTTTATTGTAATATGATGCGACGGCTGCTAGATCTTCTGCCTCAAGCCAGACAGGCTCACTTGCAGAATGAACACCTAGTAATACTTGAATATCATGGAAATTAACATTAATATTTTTATTTTTAAACACCACTACTAATGTATTTACTCCGCAAAATCCGTCTAGTGGGATATTTTTTGAAACCTGCATACGGGTCGCCATGGACTCAATGGGAATATTGTTTGAATCTTATGTGTGTTAAAATATGGTTTGCGAAATTGTTAGACTTCAATTTTTCGAAGAGTACGGTCACTCTGTGTGATCCGTCAAATAAAATAATTTTCGAATCATACATATCAATATTAGCCTTATATTTTTGTAGAAAAATATTACCCAACAGGCTATTAGCTTTTAGATTTTTGACCATCGCGCAATCAATAAAAAATAAATGGTCATAAAAATTTACCTCAATTGTTGTTTTTCCTATTAAATCTAGTGGAGAACCGTTTGCTGTAGTAAGAGTCGCATTTTGATCAGAAATAATATTATGATTTTTTGGAAGTAGATTATCGCTTATTATACTAATAGATGCTCCCGTATCGATAAGAAATTTTACATCAGAATTATTGAATTTTCCTAATATTATTGGTTCAATATCCGACTCACTATTAAAGAATATATTTGCATAACGTGTAACACCCGTAATATTTTAATTATTTCGCGATTGCTTTTCTTTATTATTACTATTGGGAACCAGAAATTTTTGGCTAAGCTGCGCAAGGATGTCAAAATTCGTCCTAACCACCGGATTTCAACTTATTAGTTTTTTTGGTTTCTTTGCGGCTGCCTATGCCTAGGGACCCCCATATTTAACTGTTGACCTTAATTTTGCCTAATGTAATTATTTTGTTTGCCATCTTTATTATTAATAATATTTTCGCTTAGATTATTATTCGAAAATCTAGTAATGTTATTGAAATTGTTATAACTAAAATTGTTATGCCAATTTAAGTTTGGATTTTCGGATTTGATAGCCTCAAAAACCGTTTGCGCCGTATCACATAATGAAAGGGTCATTATTAATTTTT